GAGGGGACAGAAAAGTAGAAAGAAAAGAAAAAAGAGTTTAAGAAGAGCATACTCACCATCGCCATCGCCAGTCATCACCTCGTCATCACCGGACTGTCACCATCACCGCCATACATATGCATAGATCTAGAAGGAAGATGGAATGGAAAGAAGAAGGGGAAGATAAAGAAGAATAAAGACTATAGAGAGGAGGGAGAAGAAGATTGCAGAGATGAGGAAGAAGAAAGGAATAGCAGAGATGGAGGAGAAATAGGAGAGAAGAAGAAAAAGAAAAAATGTGGGGATGAGGAAAAGGGGTGGCGGAGAAAAAAGGAGGAAAGAGAAGAGAAAAGAAAGGAAGAAAAAGAAAGAAAAGAAGGAGGAGAGGGTAATTTTGGAATAATAGAGAAAAAAAGTAGAATGAGAACATCATTTTTGGACAGAAAGAAATAGAATGGAAACATCATTTCTAGACAGAGGGAGTATAATAAAGAGAAGAGATTAGAATTTTATGGATTTTATACCTTAACATTATGTTTGGTTCGAAAAAATTGAATGAGAAAAGAAAAGAAAATAAAGTGAAAAATAGGTTTCCTTGTTTGGTTGGAGAGGTAAAGAAAGCAAAAGTGGAAGGAAAAGAAAATGAGAAGATAAAATATACTAAGATGATGGAACACCAAATATCTCACAATTTAGTGAAGTAATTAGTGAAAAGCATATTCTTTTCTTTTACTTCCAAATTCCTTGAACCAAACATAGTGTAAATAATAGCGAGTGGTTGATGAACAATGGCTACGACGAGTGAAAAGACAGTCAACAGCGGTGAGGTGGTAGAAAGGCAAGCCGGGCGCGATGGGTTTCTGGCGGCGAGTTGTGGTGGTTCTGAGGACTAGCAGTGTCGGAATAATCGATCTATCAATAGTTGAAGAAAAGAGAAAAGAGAGCCATGAGAGAAAGAAATCCGTGAGAGATAAAGGAGAAATTTTTCTGACTTACACTGTCAGGAATGCAATATTTGTTTTTTACATATTCCGGTCATTTACTCGGAGAAATTAGGATGGAAGGAGAAGGAAAATGAAGTGGGGTGGGTGTGGGAGTGTGGGAGGTGGAGTATTAGTATATGGTTTGTATATGGGGTACACGAAGTGATTTACCCCACACTGATTGATATTTATTTCGATTAAGCTATTTGTATTTCAAGATTTTGTATCTCAATTTGTATATTACAGATTTACAGGCATGCATCTTTATTTTGTATGGAGTATCAGTGTAATGTTAGAGTGATAGTTTACATAGACACAAAATATTAGTGTAAATTTTTATTAATGCACTAGCATTTTGTGTTAGCATGAACAATCAAAATAATAGTGTATACTTTTTGTGTAACTTTGAAATATATTTTTTTGTGTAAGTATAGTATGGTTGTATTTATTTTCCAAAAATTGAAAAATGTCATTCCATTAATTAAATCTAATGCATAGTGCACCTTTATAGCACTGTTACGCTCAAGTATTTTTAAATGGTATTTAATGTACTATGTTGACCCTTAAATTTTTTTGTTTATATATGATAATATATATTATAATAAAATGTATAATATTTCAAAATTAATCTATTTATATTAAATTTATAAATGATAATTTAATATATTTTTCTATAATTTGAAGTTTAAATTCAAAAAAATTGACCATAAAATAAGTTTAGTCTCTCGACTAAAGCCCGTCAAAATGACATTAAACTTATTTGATGGAATAATCCTTTCTAATTGGTGTTTTATCAAATTTGTCAATTTTCAAAATTAAAATTGATTAAATATGAAAAAATAGTTTTAACTTTATATAATGAGAATGTAATAAATATATCTACAAACATAATTTTATAAACTTGAAAGTAAATATTTCAGATGATTTTAAATTATTTAGAAGGATATCATGTAAATAAATTATTTAATAAAACTAATTCAACATCTTGCGATTCATTTAACTAGTTAGTTACATAACTAATTTGGAATGTGACAAATTATAAATTTTAATTTTTAGTTTCATATTTATTTTCAAATAAATTAGATTGAAAGAATTTCAATTAAATCTTTTAAACAACAATAGACAATTTATTTGAGAAGAGTACAACATAAAACAAATAATAACATTACTATATTATTTAAGTTAATGAATAACAAAACAACAACCAAATGAACCAAATGACTTGAAAAAAGAAAAAAACACTTACTGGGAGCGGAAGTCCAAAAAACGAAGAAGAATAGAACATCTTAACATTGGAATTTGTTGGGTCTCCTGATCATATGCGGGACACTATCAATCATTGAATCCAAATAAATACGATAAAACCCTTAACAAAACCCAAAAAAAGAATTTACTCATTGAAAATCAAGAAAGAATATCATTAATCAATTCGTGGAGACTGACAACTTGTTACAATCAATCCAAAGAATCTAAAGAATTTCTGCAAAACCTAAATTTTTTAAAAAAACACGAATTGTTCATGTGGCAATTCATGATTTCAGACACCCATTCCAAAAATGATCATTACAGAGTGAAATTAATCATCAAATCCGGCAATTAAGCAACTCTTCTCCGGCAAACAGGGCACGTCCTGTTCCTGCGCAGCCACCCGGCGATACAGCGGCTGTGGAACACATGGCCGCACGGCGGCGGCAGGGTAGTGACCACCGAAGACCCGCGGCGGAACTCGTCCAGGCAGATACTGCAGACCTCCTCCTCCGCTCCGGCAAACGGCCCTCTTTTCAGGGAACATATTTCGCGCTCGGACATCCCTTCTCCGCCTCCTCCTCTTGCAGTCGGGAAACGGGTGGCGGCGGCGGCGGCAGGGTTGAGAATGAAGGCGCCGTCGATAAACTCAGCCTCTCTGCGCGACGGCGGCAGCGGAAATCGTGCAGACAGCCCTCCTCCTCTTCGTGCGGTGGGGAAACGGGCGGCGGCAGGGTTGAGAATGAGGCCGCCGTCGATGAACTCAGCCTGGGATGGCGGCGGC